CAATATACATGTCGATCCCAAATTACTTATGTATAGTTATACATGTCCGTCTCAAATTCACAGAAATATTCAATTCCGCAATTTTTTCGTCGTGCACCATGCGCGTGCAAATGGCGCGAAAAAAATTCATTGTTTGAACGATTTACCGCGTTTCGACATTAGTTGGCGGTGTTGAAATGAAGTTTGCACTTCCGGGTAGATTGTTATCGTTACCGTCTGCGTCTCACCTTCTTCTCATGCCAAATATTTCCTAATATTTTGTTCCCCTCCCATTGTTTGCACGGGACGTGTGATGTCAGTGCTGCTCTCTGAATCTACTAATGAAATGTTTCTTAATGGTTCTTGTTAGTTGTGTGTTTTCTAAAATGATGTAACTGATCATGGCGCAAGTGGCTCGGGGTGGGGGGGGGGGCAGCACGGAACATCGGAGTCACGGAAATGCTCAATTCAGGACTAAGATCTTGAAGAGGAAAGGGACTTCGGTGTGCGGACGAAGTTTTCGTATTCTTCGGAGTTCGTCTTGGTGCCTGGGCTTAGGCTGACGTCAGAGTCCGCGATCCGTCGCAGGTTTCGCTGGTTTCGCGCGATTTTTGCGATTTGTGCGATTTACGCGGATTTACGCGACGGCTCCCGGAAATCCTGATCAATGCTGCAAGGTGTTCTCAATCCTGCCGCCACTTGCGGTGCCGCCACTTCTGCTTGATGGTGATGGCTGAATGGCGACTGCTCGTGATTCCACTTGTTTCATATGCAGTGTTTCGATTGTACAAATGGGGCACTTGCAATTTGTGCGATCCGCGCGTATCGCGTGATCGCTTGAATCGCGATCGCCGAACCTGCGACAGATCGCTGTCTCTGACACCAGCCTTAGTCCTAGAGACCTTTTACAGAGCGCCCCCCCTCCCCCGGAGCCACAGTGCGCCCTGATCAGGTCCTTATATTTGAGATCAAGGGAGGTTCCATATCTTTATCTCAAAAAAATGATTTGTCTAAATTAGATTCTTTGGAGTTTCAAGATTTTTGTACACCAGTAGTCTATCCAAGATGAAAGAGTGGCACATGTTTTTTTTTTAATTTGGTGTAGATGTAGCGTAAGTTTATTATAACAAGTTAGTAAAAAGGTTTATATATGGTAGGAAGTATTCTAAAGAGTATATGTACTAACATTCTCACATTTGTTGCAAGACGAGATCCTCCCAAGCGTACGCACTATTTGCTCGTTTTTTGTGCATCGCTTCCAACAGAGTGATGCTCAGCAGTAAAGTTTGCGAAATTTTGGCTCTGTCGGGGCAGGCGTAGACATAGAATGAGTGATGGAAGTTTGTCTGCACCTTCACAAGGGAACAGTATTGCTGGGAGCCAAGGCGTGTTCAGAGTTCGCGATCGCGCTAGTTTACGACTACTGAGATGTAGCGTCGAATTGTCGGAATGTCAAATCTCTCAGGAATTCTGTTGTGAATGCTAGCATTACCTGTAAGCGATTTAAATTCACCGTCAAATCTCAAATCATGAGTGCAGTTCAAAGACGTAAGCAAACCAGCCTTTGGCGTTTCTACTGTTATGCTAAATGTTGCGAGGGGATGGGGTCTCCAACGGTCGGCGGAACTTCAACTCGGTCCTAGAAACGCTCAATTTGATGCTTACTCAGGACTAAGCCTTAAAGAGAGGATGGACCTGCGAGACAGCGCAAGTCAGTCCTCATTCAAGGCTTAGTCCTGAGGTAAGCAAGTCAGCTCTTTTGACGGAGCTGCAGGACCAGCTGCACCATTTGCGTCATTACTCTCCTACCGTAGTTGAAGATAGATTTTGAAGATAGTTGATCCATGTATTGAGTCGTTAAATTTCTTGTTTCGGTGAACTATCGCACTCATTCAATTCGGTTTTTTTAGGGTTTATCTCTCCTCGCGGGAAATAGCGAAAATAATTGAACGTCCCTCAATGGCGGACATCAATCCGTTAGCGAAAGAATGGAGAGAACAAGGTGAGACTCCAAATTTCTAATGTTTCCCAGTCTTGTCTAGTTATTTTAGGTCTGTCCTTCGTGAGTACCAGAAAGAGGGTGTAAAAGTGATGGATTCCTGGTATCGCGCTGGTCACGGGGCATTAATGGCGATGAAAGGGCTTGGAAAGACCTGCCAGGTGTGTGAGACTTGTTGAATTTTTATTTCACGATGAATTAGTAACCTTGCAACTATGGCTGTAAATTATTATGAACATTGAAGAAATTGAAGTTTGAGGTGCAGAGGGCAACGAGCCTTGCGCGATAAGGTATTCTCGAAAATCGTAGTTGTTTCGTACGTACATTATGCGAAATTAACACTTTGTTCCCACGGCGAGACGAGTTCGTGGGTCCCAGAATCAGTATGACTGATGTCAGATTCCGCGGTCCTTTGCGCGATTTTTGCGATTTGCGCGATTTTTGCGATTGCGCGATTTGCGCGACAGGGTACAGGAAATCACAAGTGCCCATCCATACTGTAAGGTGTTCTCCAATCCGCCGTCACTTCTGCTTGATGGTTATGGTTTAATGGAGACTGCTCATGATTCCACTTGTTTCATATCCAGTGTTTCAATTGTTCAAATGGGGCACTTGCAAGTTTTGTGATTGGTTTGGTTTGATTTCTGAAAAAAAATAGGAACAATTCAAGAGCACTTCAATGAACTAATAGACATTGAACATGAAACAAGTAGAAACCACAAACATTCGTCTTCCAATCTTTACTGCCAAGCAGAATTCGCAGCAGGATTAAACAACACCTCGCAGTATTCATCGAGCACTTCCAACTCCTGTGATCCATCGCAGGTTTCGCGAAAATCGCGAAAATCGCGCAAATCGCGCAAAGGATCGCGGACTCTGACATCAGCCTAACACATGCGGCGTGCTTTGTTACCCTTGATGCTGCCTGATGCCTCGTCATGGAAGGCGCTCGGAGAGTACGGGATAAGATGGCTGACCCGAGTTCTGAACACTGTGACTGCGGAAGGAAGGATGCCAAATGCCTGGAAGCACTATCGTCCTCATCTTCAAGCAAAAGGGTGACGCGATGGATTGCTCCAACTACCGCGGTATCAAGATGACTGCGCATAACATGCAGTTGTACGAACGGCTGGTTCACTCGACACTAAGGGAACTGGTCCTGATCTCTCAGGAACAGTACGTATTCATGCCTGAAAGATCAACGACGTATGTCATCTTCATCGCTAGGCAAGTGATGGAGAAGTACAGAGAAAAGCGCCGGCATTCGATCTCTACCACGAGCAGTACTATGAAGAGCGCTCAGGAAACGGAACGTGCTAGAACACCTAATTTCGCTGGTGAAAGAGATCTACGGTGGGGCTAAGGCAGCCATACACACCCTGCACGGCCTAACACACGAGGTTGGCATCCGGTTGGGATGCCCCAAGGATCAGCACTGAGACCCTTCCTCACCCTCCTGAATTCAATTTCCCGGTAAGGGGGGTCACTGTGGAGCCACTGAAGACCACCCTCTACGCTGACAACATCGCCCTGGTAACGGATAGCAGAAAAGAACTGCAGGGCAAGGTGCAGAAATGGCAGAACGTACTGATAGAAGGTGTGCTCCCGAATGTCAAAAGGACCGTGTTCCTTCCGACACCTTGAGAGCGATTTGGCAGCCGACGGTAGTGCGGATGAGGCGGTGAAGGCGCGACTAAGCGCTGCATGGATGAAAGGGAGGGAGTCCACTGGAAACCTCTGCGATTGAAGGTGCTTCGGAACGCACAAAGGTAAGGCGTATCAGACAGTGATAAATCTTACGGAGAAGCCTTCAGAGTGTCTAGCTGGGTTCTTTTTCCATTTCGTTGACAAGGAGAGAACTGGTTTCTGCATCTAATGATTGAACTGGTGGTACTTGTAACAGCGGGCCTCCGCATCTTCCATCTGTGGTGGTTACGAACTTATCGAATTGTTGAAATGTTGTCCATAAGAGCTCCCCTACTATGTTGAACTGCCGCTAGATGTAGCGTGCCATAATCCCTAGGAGTCCAATTTTTGGTCTGGCGTACCGCGATGTAGTCATTTCAATAGAACTGTGTGATATTCGGTTTCATTAAGAAGAAGATATACACCCTATCACGTAGTGCACATCAAAGGAGACGAAAATGGAGCGGCTCGGGAAGAGCGGATATGGCTGCGCACGTACGCTGTTCATGGTTTTAGCCCATCCTGTACACACACGATCAAGTCGATCCATTTGAAAAAAAAGCGATGACTGAGCAAAATTGACGGAGGTCCATACGCACTTTCTGCTGTTCATGTGTTGAAGGATTGGAATTACTGCAAGCAACTTTGAACCCCTACCACTTGCTTCCAAACTGTTGTGGAACCATAGATTTTGGTCCTCTCCTTATGACTGAAAGTTCCCACTCACTTGGTGCGGATTGCGCTGGAGTCGAAGAGCCTAGCGGCGAGATGAAGGTGGTCGTCGTCTAGATTTATCCTCTTCCATTCGAAGAAAACCCCCTGCAAATCTTGCGTACCAATGGATGCATGTTCTTAGAGGGGGTCATCATACCTGGTAAGTTTTCTGTCTTCGGAAGGCAGCGATGAGTCGTTGTGACGTCAGTGGAGCACAAGGTAGGCCCATCATTGGATAGATTCAGACTTAATGCATGCTTTCCTTCTGCACGTCCGCATGACTTCGCCAGCAAGTCATGTGATCGAAGGGTCTGTGGCGACTTAGGCGGATGGGTGGCGCCTTTTAATTTAGAGAGATAGTATATCTCCCTTATTACAATAAATAGAGTGGTTCAGTGGATAAGAATTTATCTTTAGAACAGCAAGAGTCGTGTGCCCTGTTGCGGGCAGAACAGAACCTAAGAAAACCTAGGCCCCGCCCCCGAGGAGCAGGGGTGACCGCGGGTTCTGGCCTAGGCCAGAACACTCCCGCTGGCCACAACAGTAATATTTACATACAACACAAAAAAAATCAATCTTTCTGCCGACGTCTTCGTTCGCTTGCCCATAACCATCGTTCGCATCAGTTTTGTCGTCGCCTCTTGAAGCCAGCTTGTCCACGATTGGCGCACAAGAGCACGTTGTGTGGTCTCCCACACGCCGCGCACTGTACACCACAGTCGTCATCGTCTGCATGAGCTGGCTTGAGGCAACGACCACAAAGGCCGAGCCTCGCCACCTGCATGCTTTTTGCAACCGCATCAGGGAAGCGGTTGCACCGTGGGGTGTTATGACCATCACGGTTTTCTGCCAAGGGGCAGAAAATACAGGAAGATCGCGGTTCAGACCGCTTCAGCAGCTCGTTGACAGCCAGTTCCAGATTATGTAGTCGACCGAGCACGTGTCCAATAGCAGTGAGGACTTCGGCGGTTGAAGGAGACGTTGCGGATTCGGCTTGATCGAGCATATCGCTGACGTCTGACAGATCCATGTACGTATAAGTGCTTCAGATTTACCCGTAAGAGTCTTAGAGTGCCTCTTATAGAACTTGAAAGGAAATTTCTGGCGTCGGTTCGTCCTTCATCTATGATACGGCTATGCGTTTGAAGGAACCGACCGAGCAGATGTGTATAATGCGCCGCATGGAGCTGTAATGCATTTGATTATAGCCCACAAAATTTTGAATACAATAATGATTGCTATCGGTCCAAATAAGTATACTAGACCGGTAACTGCCGTGCAAGTAACTGCAATGAGTACAGCCGTTTTCCAGTGATCCCTAATTATCTTCAGTAATGGTCTGAAATCAGGGAGGTGAAACTGAGAAAACTCAAACATGCTCACTTGTCCTTCCTCGGAATTGTGGAGAAATATCGAATCATTTGAAACCGGGTGGTAAAACAAGTGGCCTCCAAGGGCAATTTTAGACTTCGATTGCCGCATGATATATAACATGAATCTTCAACTAGAGCCTCGTTGAAGTTCAGATTCAGCTCTGTTGTTATATTCTCCGCACTACATTTAACAATTGTTGTGAAGTTACTGCACTTGAGTTCAGCAACTGATTTGTAATGTGAGCTGCAAGATACTTTCAAACGCGCTCCATGTAGACAGCCGTAGCAGCCAGACAACTCACTCACCTGTGCAGTGCACTGGTCGTCAATCACCAATTCTGAGCTATCTGTTAAGACACTAGATTTTATATATAAAGTAACTTCTTCAAAGGAGTCTACAAGAAGGTCAGTGCCTCGAGGGTATATTTCCATAGAACCTGTCTCTCAGCGGTAAACGATTCGAGTCCTCCGAGCGTATATGACCGATCGAGTCCTTATTGCATTCGCAAATATGAGGAGAAGTTCCAGTACTACAACTGCAGGTCATCCTGTTTTCACACTTACTGAATTTTCTCTGTGCATCATATCTTGTGCGGCATACGACCGGTACTTGGAACGAGTCCGGTAGAATGACGGTCTCGCTTTCCGACTGAGCAAATTTTTTATTCATTGGCGAGTGTGAGGGCATCTGCACTGTGACTGCCGTAACATTCACAATCTTCACGTCTGTCGCCTGATACGGCAGTATATTGTAGCGCTCCTCCGTCGTTTTGCCAAAGATGTTGCCTAATATCTCCAAGTGTATGGACGGAGACCAATCTTGGCATTCGAATACCTCATACACATCTGTAGTGATCGGGATGTGAGCGACCCTATAGAACACGCAAGATGGTGTCGGTAAAATGCATCCAGAAAGTATTCCTCCACTTGAATGATCACAGGCCGAGTAGCCTGGGTAAGGTCTCGATCTACGTAGTTCTGGGATGTTTCATTAGGTTGTAGTAAGTCGCATTTGCTCGCTGTACATGATCCCATCCCTGAACAACGGTGGGAATAAAATATCTTATGTTGCGTATTCTTCGTAAAAAACTTCGATGTTTTTACGCAGGTAAAGTGCACGGCTTTTACCTCTATGCTTAGCATACCAACCGTGCGGTTCCGAAGGTGTATTTCGATACAATGTTTCCTTTGTAATCTGTTGAACAGAATTTCGCGCCCTATTTCGTAGGAGCATTTTCCATCCTGGTTACATACAAGTTCAGTATGATGCCTAGACAGTCCATGTTGACAAGAATCACCTAGGCTGATTATCATGATTAGCACGCATGCTATCAATGGGATACGACCGCTAAGAGGTGTGGGGCGATAAGAATGGATTACTTTCATTTCTACTTCCACTGGTTCTACCGTTCCTGATTTGTTCTTTGCAGTAGAACTGTGCTGATCCTTAGACCGAGTGAGAACCTTCAGCATTCGAAAAATGATAAGAACTCCCAATGCGATGACGCATACTATTATTGCCAACGATGCTAATGCACCAACCGGCCAACAGTGGGGGTTTCCAAGCAATGATGTCGATAGAATTTTCTGTGATACGGTACAGAAATCAGGTGGAGCGCATGAAATTCTTTGAATAGAATTTGTATGGTTTAGTTTAATTTGAACATCCTATTCACAGGTGAAGGAGGTAGGTTAAATGCCATTTCTGATGATTTATTACTGAACAGGTTTTGGTGCGCACGCATTCGCCGTGCATGAGACGGGGCTCAGCGAGGTAAAATCGGGCCATCAGTATTTTTGTCTTGATTTAGCTTTCTGCTCGGTACATCTTAACTTACGCCGCAAACTCCGCCCACATCCGGGTGTGCCACGCCCAGCGTTCGCATTCAACTCTACGTCCTACTTTCACCTCTGGCGTATTTTTTTCAGTCTCTAAGTCATCTCGGAGCTGAATTTATGAGGTCTTGTAAAATGGCGTATGAGGTTACGAATTTCTGGGGCAGACCCCGCCCACTTTGGTGCATGCTTAGCCCAACAATGGCATTTCAACCCTACTCCATACCTCAATACTTTGTGCACATTTTCCCCTGTCGCCGGAACTTCTAGGAACCGAGTTATGAGAGCGGTGGCCAACTTCCGCCCACATCCGGGTGTGGCACGCCAGCGTTCACAATTCAACCTTCTACTCCTACTTTTCACCTCTGCGCGTATTTTTTTTTCACGGTCTCTTAAGTCGTCTCGGAGCACGAATTATGAGGTCTTGTAGGGGACGAAATCGACTACGTATCTTTGTAGCAACCCCGCCACTTTGGTGCATGGGGTCGCCCTGATCAGTCGGCTATCATCTCTTCCCCAACCTTTTCTACTTTTTCTCCCATCTCTGGAACTTATTGGAACCGAGTTATGAAGTACCGTGGCAAACCCCGCCCACTTTGGTGCTTGCTCCGCCGCCAACAACCGTTGACCCTTCCCTCTGCCAACTCTCATACGCTTTTTCCCCACCCCGGACTCATAACGAGCTTACTTAAGGCTAATTGCAAACTCGCCCACTTTGTGTAAGCTTCGCCACCTTGATATTTAGCTTCCCCTCCCTTCCTAACCTGTATCCACTGTTTTCCGGCTGTCTCTAAGTCATCTCGGAGCGATTTATGAGCTCTAGTAGGAAATGCTGTCCGCTTCACAGACACGCTCGCCCATTGTGGGCAGGCCTCCGTTCACTTCATGGCGTGTGTGGAAATACCTTAGCATTGCTCCCCTGCACCAATTTCGTTTCTGGTCTGTAGGCTTCCTCCTTAACCGAGTTATGAATATTTTCACTGAAGCACCCATTTTCTAGGAACGCCCCCCACCGAGGGTCGTTCGTTCGCTTTCAATCTGGCTTACCAACCCACACCCATGCCCACTTTTGTTCCGGTCTCGAGGCTGTTTTGTGACTGAATTTGAAACCATAGTCCTCAGTACCACTCATTTCGACGCACGCCACGCCCACTGTGGGCGGGGCTCCGCTTAGGTAATGTATGTTTTTTACTTCTCGAGATATGGTACACTCATCTCAAACATGACCTGGACCCAGTAGGTTGTTGTCCGCTTAATACGGAATTTCGTGACAGACAGACAGACTTAGCGCATTATATATAGTAGGGATGTTCGACATTCTTGATTGAAACACAATTTGAAAGTCGTCTTTGGCGGATCGATTATGACCTTTCCGCTGTAACACTTGAGGTTTGGTGTGCTATGCCCGGCAGCGGCATGTACTGTAGCCAGGAGTATTGCCTGAAGTATTAACAGCGAATTACAGGTCATTTTGCGGTACGACCGGTTTAGTGAACATGGAGAATGATGTGTACTGTTCACGCAGACATTCACATTCTCATCCTGGGTATCTTCCAGACTATTTTCGAATTGTTTCATGATTTCCAAGGCTTTTGTTTTTGACTGCCTTTCTGTTCTCAATCTTGGAGAGGCTATTATTTTCTGCTGCTGATCTCGAGTCTTTGCTGTGATATTGGGCTCAGCAAGACTTCTGATTTCCAGCGGATACAGCCTACCAAGTGGACGATGGAGGATTTTCCTATTTGGTAGCATTAGTTTTGCTGATCTCACAAGTCCATCACTGCTATTTATAACTTCAACAATCTTTCCATAGGACCAGCTGCCACGAGGTAAAAAATCCTCACCAATTAGTACAATCTCCCCGATTTCGGGGACATATCTCGAGATGTGTCTTTTTTGTTTGAGATGTAGCTTTTGCGAATCTCTTAAGCAGAGCAGATACTCATTGCTCCATCTCTCCCAAAATTTGGTAGTGATTTTCTCAGCCGATTCTAACGCTTCCTTGGCCTGTTTCACTGTTTGAATCAAGTCCGGTTCATATTCTTCGTCATCAATTGTGACGCTATCAGAATGAGGGAGTGAAAATTTCATATTTCCGTGAAGGAAATCGACCGGTCTCAAAGGGATTTCGGAAATGTCCGTGAAATTTGTTTTCGTTAGAGGGCGAGTGTTTATGATAGCCTCTATTCTAGTCATGACCGTGTTCATTTCGGTGTAGAATAACTTCTTCCGACCGACGCTTTTATTTAAGCACTTTTTGACCGAACCGACCAGTCTCTCCCAAACTCCGCCCATCCATGGACTCGCTGGGGGGTTGAAAATCCATCTGATACCGACGGAAGCACAGTATGACATCAAGGGGTTGTCATTATTCTCGCTATTTTCAAACATATCGACGATCATTTTTGATCCGAGTTTGAAATTAGAACCGCAATCGCTTCGCATGAGTGTAGGTACACCCCTTCTTGACACAAAGCGGATAAAACTGTTGAGAAATGCGCCTGTAGTCATGTTTTCTACTACTTTTCGAGGTGCACAGCACGGGTAGTCAGGCAGGTATAGAGGCACACATACATGTTATCGCTACTCTTTGCAAGAAAAGGGCCAATAAAATCACAAGCAGTGTTCGCAAAGGGTCTGGTCACCATGACTCTATCCTTCGGGAGTGGTGGCATCTCTGGGGCGCCAAAAGTAAACCCTGCCAGCGTTTGCAAACCGTACAGTTCCTTATGACCTTTTTAATTAGGCTTGATGGCCGTGGTAGCCAAAATCGATTTCTCAGTAGGGATAGGGTATGGTCTTTACCGCAATGTGCATTGGATTTGTGAATGTCTTCCAGAATCAGTGCAGAGAGTGGTTCACCATGAGGTAAAAATATGGGTGAAATGGCGTCCTTTGGCAATGCTGAATTTTGCATTCTGGACGCATGCCTTATAATTCCTTCGGAATCTCGCGTGATTTTTTGATGGTGGAATCGTTTCTGAAGCTCATCACAATCTATTCCTTTATGGATCTGTTGAAGTAAGGCTCTTTCGGCTGACTGTATGTCATTGGCCGTGATTCCAGCCTCTACATCGAACTTTTTGATTGAGCTGGCTTCGATATTCACTGTACTTCTTTCGTTAGTACGAATAACCCATTTATGGAGGGTCTTCCCAACTCTGGCTACTGTTCTGAGGAGAGTGCTTAATCGGGAGAAACGTGATACACTGCGTTTCATAATTATAGGTCCACCCTAAATTTTTGCTACCCCAAATTTGCTGTGCATTTTATGAAAATCTACTATCACCGTTAGATTCCTCGTCACGGAAAACCTTCATGGTGTTTTTCCGACAAAGTTCCCCCCTCAAGTAACCCAATTAACTTTTTTAGAACGAATTTTCACCGTTTCATGAATATCGGGCCACTCATAAAAAGTTTCCATTTCTCATGATCCGTGAAGGGAATCAGGGAAGCGAGGAAATATGTGGGCTCAGTCGACATAGAGTTTACCATACTTTGTGTTATTCGCCTCTCTTCCCAGTAACAAGCTCAAGCTAGAGCACTTACTGAAGTGGGATAGCTGAGGAGCAGAATTTCCTCCCATGTCGGCCGGCTCATACTCATAAGCGACCATGTGCAAAATTCTGGTCAGTGCGGAGAGAAGAGTCGCTTAGGTAAATAAAGACTGCGTTCCCTTCAAAATTTAGGAAGAATCGGGTGTTTTCTCTCGAGTTATACAAGGAGTCCCAACTAAGTCCGTACTGAAATGCGGCCTTCTGTGAGCAAGACCACCGTGTGGTGAGTAAGCCAGCAGAGAAGTAACATCTTCAACGGATTGATGAAGAGCGTTCCAAGATTATTCGAGCGCTACAAGATCGCAAGTCTCCATTTCTCCGTGAAAAAGGCTCAACATAATGGGCGATGGTGTGGCTCTTGAGACCCTTCGCGATCTTGGACTCTACCTCCTTGTTTCAATCTACAGGTGGTCTGAGATCGACGTGGAAAGGTTTATTCTAGGTGGATATGGCAGAAAAAGAGGGTACAGGATGATCACGTGAAAATCGCAGATGGTTTAAATGTAACGTAAGTTCGGCGCTGAATTCCGTTATGGTTTGAGGCACCTTGAAGAGCTGAGTAGCTAGAGCTCGCTTTTGTTTCCGTTCACAAAAATTCCACAGGGTATCGTGAAGTTTTTCCGGAGCGAGTGCTTACCATTTTTCAACAGGATCCCTCTATCCTTGATTTTCACACACGTAACGCAGCCTGTCCATGCCGGTCCCTCCGCGCCAGATGGAATTGCAGGAAAAATGTGGCAGTTATCTGGTGGCCACCATGTTATCTGAATTAGATTCCAATAGAGAGTCATTGGGCCTTAGTTGTATTTAAGTTCCACAGCAAAGTAAAAGGCAAAATGGAACAGCCGAAAAGCTGAAAGCGTCGATCATCAGGCCCAGACCAATTCGGATCCTACTGTGACAGCTAATTTGGCTACCAGCATGTCAAAACGTATTGTTGTGTTCCTTATGATTATTGAGGGGTCATCCCATTATTGAAAATTCGTGACGTTTTTTCGTTATAGTAAAATCCCTCGACAAGTGATGTGTAGTCATATTTGCGAAACGGTGAAAATACGTTCTAAAGAAGATATTTTAATAATTCTGAATCGAGATTTCTCCAGAAATCAAGTATCAAGGTTATTCGTTATGGGAAAACTATTGGTAATAGCAGCATTCTCCAAAAATGCGCAGCAACTTTGGAATAGCAAAAAATTAGGGTGGACCTATATTTATGAAACGCAGTGTATATCCACGAGCACTGTTGTTTGCTGTGGGTCAGCTACTTCGATACTTACTAGTTCAGCACTGCTTTGAATATCTTCATTTTCTTGCGTAAAGAGTTCATCGATTGGTCTGAGCAACGCTGCTGTCTTGCTGCGTGATAGCCACCGAGGGCCTTGAATCCACATGTGCTGTTGCATATCCATGGAGGTGAGTCCCCTGGTACCGGCATCAGCGGGATTCAAAGAGGTTGGTACGTGCATGAATCGCACGCTACATTGCTTTTCCTCGAGGATAGCCTTGATTTTTCTGATTCGATCACACTGGTTTGCCACAAACATTGGCAGTTTTCGATTTGATCTGATCCAACATAGTGCGATCTCGCTATCACTTACTAAAGTTATCTCTTTTACGCAGTGATTGTTCGCTTGTAAGATAGAATTTCAAGACGCAGGGCAATCAGTAATCCAAGCAGTTCCAGCCTTGGTATGGTCTGTTGTGCCTTCTTTGGTGACAGCTTGGTCTTCCCACTTACAAGTTGACTAGTCATTTTGTCTTTATAGACTAAATATGAGCACGTCGCTATAGCTTCCTTGCTTGCGTCGGCAAAAACCCATAAGCAAGCATCCTCCAAGAGTCTATTTTCCATAGTCAGCGCTCTTGGGATTGTTATTTCGACGTTATTGATTGAGGATATTAACACATTCCATTTTTCGTGGAGTGCTTTCGAGATGCGGTCATCCCATTTTGGATGGGAGGTAAAGACTTCTCTCATCAGTGATTTGAGGTTAATTAATAACGGTGCGGCAAGACCGAGCGGGTCGTACACAGAATTGATTTGACTCACTATTTCCCTTTTGGTGAGCGTTGACTTTATTTCAAAGTTGGTTTTCACGGTGAATTGGTCGGTCTCTGTGTCATAGTCAACGCCAAGGATTTTCATTTTTCCCGATGGGGCGCGGTCGTTTCTTGGTATGGCCAAATTGACCTCCCTTGAATTAGAAACATATTCTCGGAGATTCATCCCAATCTTTGCAAATAAGTTTTTTGACTCTTTGTATTTGCGAAGCACCTCTTCCTCAGTTTCCGCTTGGAGCAGAATGTTATCGACGTATAAGTTTCTGCTAATTTCTGCAGATAGTTCTGTCCCTGATGAGCGTAAATATGCCAGAAGTGCCATATTAAGAACACTAGGTGCCGCAGTGATACCGAATGGCAAGCGATTAAAGCGGTACACTATTATGTTTGACCTCATAACAGGTTTTGTGTTATCTTTCAGCCAAAGAAAGCGGCACAGGTCTTTATGCGCGTCGATCAGCCTAATCTGTGTGAACGCGGCCTCAATGTCGCAAAGCAACAGAAACTTGCTGAAGCGGCTTGAAATAAGTACGTTATGAATTCTGTTCACGAATGATTCCCCTTTGTGAATGACATCATTCAATGAGAATTGTCCTCTCTTCTTGGATGAGGCGTCGAATACTATTCTCAATGGCGTGGCCTTATGAGGGCGCCATACGGCTGAGTGCGGCATATAGTATGTGCCTACAGCATCTTGATCTTTTTGGAAGACTTGTTCAATGATTCCTTGCTTTTCATAGTCTTTCAGAATCTTAGAATACCAGTATGCCTGATCGTGGTTCAGTTTCAGCTGATTCTGTAAGGACGCTAGCCTTTTTATAGCGATGGAATAATTGTCCTCAAGTTCTGAGACATTGCATTTCAAGGGAAATGGTGCTGTGACATAACCTTTGTCAAACGATATTGAGTTCGAGTAGTTCTCAAAATATTGCTGAACTTTGTCGTCTGTGGCGCACTCATCAGAGGAAATTCCTAGCCCTTCTAGTTCAAAGAGTTTTTCTAGTATTTGATTCTCTGAGCCTTCATGAATGGCCGTCAACCCGTAGGAAACCGGCTGGTCTGTGGGGCTATCTAGCTTGCCACGGCCATAAATTGTTGGACCGAATAAAGTTTTCGCGATACGCAATCCTGAAGGTGTGCTCTGCGGAGCTCCACATTCGATGACTAGGTCATAATATCTGTCGAGTCCCACCAAAATTTTGGGCACCTGTCGTTCTCCTTGTAATTTAGAGTTTGCAATGCAGATCTGGTTATGCTCAAGAAAACTGGCATCTTGCTCGGTTAATTTTACCGAGGGGAATCCTCCTGTTATGACTGGTTTGGTTTGTACGGTGAAGCAGATCTCTTTACCGTATGCAGATTGAACCCTTAGTGGGACTAGTGTGCTATTGAATCGTTCTATGTGACCTCCTAGGCCTGACATAGTGCAGGTTTCCGAAGAAAGTTGTGGTAGTCCAAAATCGTTTGCTAGTTTCTCCTCAATTATGGTTTTGTGAGCTCCAGTATCAAAGAAAAAGAGGACTTTCTCAAACTTCTTTGCTTTGTTATTCCAGAGATTCCCCTCTGCTGTCATTAGAATTAATTGTTCATTCTTACTGCTGTTGAGGATTGGTGAGCGGTCGTAATCCTGCTCATTCAGAATGACCTGTGTGTTGGTCTGTTGCGTTCTCCTTGCATCATTGTTAAAACGGTTGCTAGGTCTGTTATCGTATCGCTGAGGTCTGCTGCCATTGCTCTGTTGGTTGGTTTCATTTCTTAATGGTCTTGGATTTGGTGGTGGGGGTCTGGTGTTGCTGCCGAAAGGCCGCTGTGCCAGACATATGCTTGGATGGTGTTTATTGCCGCAATGGAAACAGTCAAGTTTGTGACATTGGTTACTAGAGTGTTGATCACTGAAACACTTCCAACAGAGGCGTTTTTCCTTGGCGATATCGCGCCTCCGTTGGATATTGGTGACGGTCCTACATGTCGCAGGTAGATGATTATTGCGGTCACAGAAGATGCAGTTTTGTAGCGACCTTTGGTTTGGTCTTCTAGTATCATGAGCGAACCAAGTTTCCTTGGCATGTCCGCTATCGGCACCCCAATGGGTCTCGACGAAGAGTTTGGAAGAAATTTCTTTCTCCAGTAGCGTTACGCCAATGGTAATGTTCTTGTTGTCCTGGTATTTCGTCAGAACGTCCTTTATTACTGTGTAAGGGAACTTTTTGATTATTGTTTCAGTCCACATCGGATCGGTAGTGGCCCTGATGTCATAGTCAGTAGAAACCATTTGATTCACAAGTGCCTTGATAGAGTCTAAGCAATCGTCGCAGCTTTTTGCATTTTGTGTGGCAGCCTTCAAGTCGAAAAGTTTCTGCACTATTTTTGACCTGTTGACGGGACGGTTGCCAAATTTGTCCTTGAGTGTCTTCACCATCCACTCATAGTTTTTTGCTATCGGCTGTATTCCCTTGATGGCTCTTTCGGCCTTCCCTCTGAGGCTATCCTTGAGGAGAACAATTTTTTCGATTGTACTCAGGTCGTTGCTCGAGTGAATAAGGGATTCATAGACTGCCCAGTATTCTGGGAATTCTTCCTCGCTACCATGGAATTTTGGTAAGCTGATATTGGGCGGTTTGATAGACCGCATCCTTGCGGCGCTCTCGAAATTTGGATCTTCAAAGTTCCCTTGAGACCAGCTTGTCTGGTTAGTACTGTGGGTTGATGACTCCTCAATGCCATTGGTGGAGGAAGGCAATTTGAGTTTTCTTTGTGCTTTTGCTAGGTTTACCTTAGCTTCGGTTAACTGGGCTTCCAGTATGTGAATGAAGGCCTCTGCGTTGGCCAAATGTTGCGGATATTGAGATTCTTTTTCGATTTCCTGAACCTCTATAATGAGTTCTTTTTGGTCGGATTTTTTTGCGTTAGCGTAGTGATTCTCTATTTTATCGACTTTCTCTTGAATAGTTTCGACAGCGGTTCTTATGCGACTAAGCGCTGACGATATAAGAGTAACGTTAGCGAGAGCTTTTTCGTGTAACTCCTCCTCATTTTCCGGATACTCTAGGTTCGCTCCGTAACATTGGTACTTTTGTAAAAGAGTTGCTAAGGCTGTGGCGCTAGCAATAACTGGCTTTTTGTAAAAATAGAGTGCCATATTGATATCTCTACTTCTTACTTTTACCGATTTCGCTGCTATCGAGCGGCTGTTCTATTAGAAATGATGCGCTTACTTTGATTTAGCAAGATAAACTACGCTGCTTTTGAGCGGTTGTTCCTTTATCAGGGAAAGGTAGGCTAAGCGCTGTGGAAATATCAAAGAGTTCGCTGCTTTTGAGCGATAAAATCAAGATTTGTCTGATAAATTCAACTAGGAATTTACCAAACAACAACGCTGTAAATCGGTTGTTCTTCGCAAAGCTGTTGTTTGCGGTTTTTAGGGCTGACTGAGTCCCAAGGGCAAGCTATTTGCTGACCTTAAAACGGCTTTGGCCGATGCACCAAAAAATGTGGCGACTTAGGCGGATGGGTGGCGCCTTTTAATTTAGAGAGATAGTATATCTCCCTTATTACAATAAATAGAGTGGTTCAGTGGATAAGAATTTATCTTTAGAACAGCAAGAGTCGTGTGCCCTGTTGCGGGCAGAACAGAACCTAAGAAAACCTAAGCCCCGCCCCCGAGGAGCAGGGGTGACCGCGGGTTCTGGCCTAGGCCAGAACAGGGTCGAAAAAAATTGCAGGACACCCTGCAGCGAAGATTGTACAAGTTGTTGTAAATGCGCAAGTATGAATATTTTCATACCCGTGAGCAAGCTTTCAGGCCATTGTTGAAATGCTTCGCCTGAAAGAAGAGGAAAAGGGACCATTCCTCGTCGTATGTCCGCTTTCGGTGTGTGATCACTGGATCACAGAAGTTACCAGGTGAGTTGCTTCCCCACCTACATTCTGTTGGCTTCTTCAATTATGTGTATTTCAGGTTTTCATGTGGAACGTTGAGTCCTATAGGGTATTTTGGTAGCGAGCCCGAGAGAGCAGACGTGCTCAAGAGTATGAAGGAGCTCTAGCGGAACACAGTGTTCATCGTGCCATATCATGTAATCTCATGCATTCCGCACACTTTTTGGCCGTGAATTTCAAGGGTATATGTTCAGATTTTCCGCAACGATTCGACAATTATTACTGCTTTGCAAGAGAGATCGAAGCTCAAGTTTGAAGTCGTCGTTGTAGATAAAGCTCACGCCATCAAGAATTCTGACTCTCAACTTGCGATGAGTCTGAAGCCTGTAGGTTCTACGATTGGTATCTTATCGCAGCCTTTCTTTAGAGCCCTCTCTCTCATAGAAAGGCTATGCCTGAGATCTTGCCCAAATATTATGGGTTTGCCAGTGGGCTTTAACTGTTGGGTGCTACCGTAGTGGATGAGCCAAATAGAGCTGTTTTCGTTCGCTTGTTTGCGCTTTTCACCGAGGCATTGGTGGAATTCGGTGTTAAACGAAACCTGCCTGAATTGGGGTATCGTAGTTATTCCGTCAGGGTTGGGCTGGTCATAAAACTTGTGTGAGAGTTGTATTGTTATTGTTTATACTTTTCTGTGAGTGGACACATATAAACGAGCTCACTTAGTATTAGGTCGTGAAGAAAGTTCTTGCACTTTTCGACCTTGATTTTCAAATGGCCGTATCTCGGCTCATTCGAAATCTTTTTGATTGGAGTAAAGACTATTAGAATCCACAAACCTCTGAGAATAATACCCGCGCTGAATCAATGCGGTAGTGCAGAATGCTGGAGCTCTAGGGACAATGAACCCGGCGGGGGTCGTTTCCGCATAGTGTTGGTTTTTGAAGCATAACTCTTTGGAGAAGCCATCCAGGTAGTCGAGAAAGTGATAGATTACCTTAGTTTAGACACAAAATCAGGCGTACTTTTTCCACATAACAAATCCACCCGGTTGCGAAAAGTAAGACCAGCGCTGACCCTAATGAAAGTCCCTCAACCTCCTTCAGTGAAGTTTCACTTTTGCCAAAGTTTGTAGAGCCTGATCGCGGCTGACCACAGGTTTCACCAAAGGTTAGTATTCTAAAAAGAATCCGTTCCTTTGTCGTGCGTTGCAAATGATCAAATAGTCAGGTCCGTTTTCAGCATGAAACAAGCGTACACTGCGTTCCAGCTCTTCCCGTCAACAGAACAACACAATGCAAGTGCGTTTAGTTATGATGAGGACCCTTTCATTAGATTTGCTGCAAACGTGCTTCAACCAGAACGCGCGACTAATCGTTCGGGCATCTCG